GTAGGTCACATGATCATGACAAAATGGTGGATGTAGTACATTCGAGGACCCGCATTCACACTGTATAGAATATACTTTTCTAACGGTTAAGTATTAAATTCAAATTGAAATGCAGTACCTACTGAGTAGTAGGCAACTTCAGACGCAGCCTATGTGTTCTATTGTGATTCAGTTAACCTCACACGTAAAAATGACTGTGCTCTGTGCTTTTTTGGCATAGATTTGCCATCATACTAAATCTGATCACAGTCCATTCACTCACTTACACTCCATCTTTCCAGATTAGTCAATGGCAACATAGGCTACTGACATTTAATGATTCATTAATCATTCGGTCACCTGAACTGTTCAAAAGCAGATATATGAAACGCATGCCGATCTGAACAGATAGCAGACTAATTATGTTGTGTTAATATGTATAAATGCATTCTTCAACAAAGTTTATAATTTTACTTGATTCAGAAAGAAAGATGGCCACTGTATGACCATGATCCATTGTTGCCGGGGTTAATCTTCTTGTTGGGTAATTATCTTGCCAGAGGTTTCAGTTCTTAAAGCAGATGCTGTTTATCATTAACAATTTGTTTAAAACATCCTATTCTTTTATTTTTGGAAATACAGCCGACTATATTGCCCCATTCACACGGGGCTTCAGCGTCAACGCTTGACTGAAGGTGTGTCTAAAGTTGGGACACGACCGTCATAGCAGCGTCAGCAGATGAAATTCAGTCAGCAATAGGCCACTGTCTAGCTGGTGTATTTGCATATAGTGATCTGATTGGCTGATGCTTCCATCGCTGCTTAAAAAGTTGAGCTAGTCCTAACTTCTGGCGCGAGCAATGCCTCTGAAGCGGCGCCGACAGATACACAATGCAGTTTGGCAACGTCTGACGTCACCCATTTAAAGTGAATGGGAAGCGTTGATGCTGAAACCCCGTGTGAATGGGGTCGTTAGACACTATTCGAAACTATGAATGTTTTACTTTTATTTAACAAAATAGTTTGTGTTTTTTAGCTGCGGAATAATAGTGGCATTTGTTTTAACACGTCACTTCACCTCAAATGTTATTTGTTCTTTTTTGTTTAGTTTGTAGTAGGGTTGGACCGATAAATGATGCCATCGTCCATCGCCGATGGCCAATAGACAACCCGATGCTGAGCTGGCATTGCGATCCATCACAAAAGAAATTGTAGAAAACTGACCAACACAATATATTGATATTAAATACATATTATGCCAAATTAAATCTGCTACAAAAAGATTTTTTAAATCTTATTTTGTTCTTTCTCATCTGTAGTTTTTTTTCCTTATTCTTGTAAGCATCCAAAGTAATTCTAAACTTCACTTGGTGAGTTGGTCTTTATAAGAGATTGTCGCAGTCGTTGTAGCAACTAAATCATATTCACAATCACATGATGAGAAATTAACTGATTCTGATGTGTTTGAATTGAAGCATTGGAAAACATGCAATACAGTGCAAATTTGACGCAGTTTTGCAGTCTTAAAGGACTCTCTTTGCAGTCTTAAACTATCTCTTTAACAATCACTGCAAATCAAAGTTTAATAGTTTCAAGCTGAAAATCTATAAGACAGAGTTGTGCTTTAAATAATATTTTGTTTAATAGTAAGTGTATAAGGTTAAATTAGAACTGAGAACTGGTAGCTTAACAGCATGAACTTGAGAAACACCTCAGGGATTAACTGTAAGCATTACTTGTAGTTATGGCTTTCAGTAAAGCAGCTAAAGCTAAGGTAAGGCTGAGTTGGTGTTTTCACACTGCATGACTATCTGGCGTAGCATTCCGTAGCTGCTGTGTTCATACGGCAAGATTCAGGGGGTTTCACACACTGCATGACTTTACAGACAATCACAGACAACTTTTTCTCTGTCGCAAACTACATCTCACAAACAAACACACATGAGAAGTGACATGGAAACACGTAAGACAAAATAATCTTTAGTTAAACATTCCAGTAAACATTTGTAGAGGCATGAAAAAATAATATAGTAAAATTACTCTAGTAAATACTAGTAAATAAATAGTATATCTTTTTTTATATTTACTACATAACGAGAAGAAGCCTTTAGTGGGGTAGAAAATGTACTTATTTTGCTCACCTGGCTTATGAAGGGAATTGGAACACATTTCACTAGCATGACAAATATCTCACGGGTGTCGGCAACTTGCACTTGTTAAAACTTGATTTAACAAATACATAATTCAGTACTACTCACCATAACTTTGAATGAAAATCTGTCTTAAGTATGATTGTCTGAATACCATTAGCATTTCATAAATAAAATTCAAAAAGGATTCCTTTTAAAAGCTTGAGTCTTCTATTGTTTCATTGTGTAATAAGACCAATAAAAATATAAAGAATTGCTATTCTAAGCCAGTTTTGCCAGGAACTATATTGTCATTCTGGCAAAAGTCTAGAAAATCTGTTACATTGAAGCATTGGAAAATATCATTCCACTTGGTGCATGGCTGCACCAAGTGGAATGATATTACACAGTATATGAGAATCGGCTGTTTATAGAGGGTGCTTTGAAACCTTAAAGACAAGAGAGATGAGCTGTTGCTGCATCAGATAACACAACAAATTTAGTATGATTTGATAGGTTCGACCAAAGAAAAAAAACTTTTACATTCAAAGATGTACATTTGATAATAGTCCTTATAAAAAAAAATATCTTAACGTTCATCGAACAATATACTATTAATAAACTGAATAGTAGGTCTAGATTATATTTACAGAAGCTCATTTAAACAGATACGTCTCACAATACTAATGTTCATTTTCCATCAGTTTTATGACTCTATCATTAAATAGGACAATTAACAAGACCTTTTTTAGAACAAAATTCTAATGGTCAAATTGGATTCAATATATTATGCTAAACTAAGCTAAAAGTGACCCTGCCAGAACAAGAATTTGGCTAAATGTATTCAAAAATGGTTCAAGACAAGTCGTTAAAAGAGGGCAGGAAAACTAAATATTCATTCATTTCTTCATTAATTTTCTTTTTGGCTTAGTCCCTTTATTAATCCGGGGTTACCACAGTGGAATGAACCGCCAACTTAACCTGCACGTTTTTATGCAGCGGATGCCCTTCCGGCCGCAACCCGTCTCTGGGAAACATCCACACACACTCATTCACATTCATACACTACAGACAATTTAGCTTACCCAATTCACCTGTATCGCATGTTTTTGGACTGTGGGGGAAACCGGGGCACCCGGAGGAAACCCATGCGAATGCAGGGAGAACATGCAAACTCAACACAGAAACGCCAATTGACTCAGCTGAGGCTTGAACCAGCAACCTTCTTGCTGTGAGGCGACAACACTACCTACTGCGCCACTGCGTAGCCCAGACTTAATATGTGAGAGAAAAAAAATTATTATTGATTGTTTAGGCACACCCAGACCCAGTATTGAGTTTAGTTTAAACACCCGTATTTGTTAAGTCAGCCTAATGATTTTATTATTATTTTTTAAACTTTCCATTGCATCTAAACGTGGCTATTTGAGGTTTTTTGTTTTAATTATAGTTAACATAACTGTTTTGTAATTTTCATCTTCCAATCATTGTCAAGATTTACTTGTGATAAAACAAACTTCATTAGAATGTGAAAAAAAAACATCTATACCTTTTTTTATACTCCGAGCATATACATTCATTTTTTTCTATTGTCATGAAGTTATCACTAATTGACCTGAAAAAATGTTTTTTATTTTCTCCCTTTTTATGTAAAAGTAGAGCAGCACAATTAATAGAAAAAAGATTGCGATCTCAATTCAACCCCCTAGATCAGGGGTCATCAAACTTGTTCCTGGAGGGCCAGTGTCCTGCAGATTTTAGCTCCAACCCTAATCAAACACACCTGAGAGAACGGGTGCGCACCCTACTTAATGATAGACGCGCGGGTCTATTTTAGTAAACAGAACCTGCCTAGGCTGTGGATAACAGTTTATAAAGTTGTAAATAGCATTCAGTTTGTGGCACAGATTGATTGTATGGAGCCGCGCAGCAAGTTTGAACAGCACTTAGCAGTGAAAATGAAACCGAAAGGGTGCACATCATTTAAATAATTATATCCCATTTTAGAGTTATGATTGCGATTTAAGCATTTGATATTTTTTTTTCTTTCATAGTGAACACAAGGTGTTGTGCATGAGCATAAATGTTTTAATAGTGTCAGCATAACTACTGAAGCCTAAATATTGTTGAATAGAATGCAAGAGGAAATCTGATAACAAATTTCGGATTTTACCAGTGAATAAATGGTTGTCAATGACAGATTGCAAACATATGTCTTAAACATAATAATTCATTTTCAGAATTATGAATAGTTGTATTCTGATGTCATCACTTTACTGTGCATTAATGACCTGGACCAATTTAAAGTCTGCTCAAGTCCACTATTCAAAGTCTATTCAAAATTTAGCATTTTACCCAACAGTAGACCTACACATAATATTATTGTTTTTTGTCATATGTTTGAGTAATAACAACAATAATAATGGCCCACTCATATTAAGCTTTATTTTACATCTACAGAATCATGAGAAAATTGCGATCTTAATTTTAGGCAAAAAAATTGCGATTTTCATTTTAACCAGAATCGTGCAGCTCTGTGTAAAAGTGTATTTATTTTTTTCTGTGTCATTGGGATATGACATTATTATTATATGTGCGTATTTATATAGATCTTGCCATAAAATAGTCATGAGTTCAAACAAATTCAAACATGATGTTCCTTGTGATCCTGAAAACCCTTTAGTGACTTCAATCAGAACCTGCTATGAATCAACATTCAAAAACCCTAAACGCACAACTCTTTGTTTTAAGACAATATTACTGGAATTAAGTCTGTAATTGAGTATATTCAGTGACAAAATCCTCACACTAATTCAGATAACTCTGTCATATTTGACCATTCTCTTAAAGTTCAAATCCAGTTGCTTAATGTTTTTCTTTCTAATTTTGCAGATTCTACAAATGAATACAAGTGATTTATGCTGTCTTAAGTGGAGCTCCTTCTATCTGTGGCATCAGTTCTCCAATATAACATGTCTAACATGTAAGTAAACACTTGGATGGAGAAAGCCACACTCATGACACTTGGAGACTTAAAAAAGCTGCTTTGAATAGAGGACATTTTCTTTCCCTGCAGAATTTTTTTCTGCAATAATGGACAGTGAAGACAGCCTCTCACAAAAGACTGAGGTTGCAAGCCATAGGCATAATGGCTCCAAAGATAACAAAAGAATTGAGGCCAAAGGAACCTGTTTAAAAATCGAAGGGAAAGATGGGTATGTGTTCAAATCATACAGAATTACTCCTCAAGAGATACTGGAATCAGAGTTTCATACCTGTCCCTCTGAGACACTGGCAAAAGACTCTTCTTTGGTGTCTTTATCATTTGAGTCCACAGAGGAAGATGGATCTTCTGAGGTTGAAAGGCTTTCAACTGAGGATTCGACAGCAGAATCTTGTGAAAAGCATGATTCTCAAACATCTCCAAATATTTCAAATAAGAGCCAGAACACTGAAATAAATAACTCAGAAACTGAAACAAGTGTATGCATCAAAGCAGAACCAAAAGTAACAGGTGAAAATGCTCAGGATGATGAAAAGCTAGCATTTGATGGAACATTTGGGCCCTTTGCCACCAGGGGTTATGATGATGATTATGGTAGCTTGTTCAGTGGCTATTCAAGTACTCTTTATGATGTTGCAATGGATGCTGTGACACAAAGCCTTCTGTCATCCATAAGAAGTCCCCTTAACCCTAGAAAAAAATCTCCTGCTTGGAACCATTTTTTCATATCACCACGTGATAGTACCAAAGCAATCTGTATGTACTGTATGAAAGAGTTCAGTCGGGGTAAAAATGAGAAAGACCTCAGTACTAGCTGTTTAATGAGGCATGTGCGAAGAGCTCACCCCAGTGTTCTTCTGCCAGACAGTGACTCATTAAATAATTTGTCCAATAATTCATCTTTAATACCTCCCAACATATCACCAAACAATGGAGATTTGCCTGCAAGCATGAAGTCCTCAACAGAAAACCATACTCAACTGTCCTCCTTTCTAGTTGAGGCCACAGACATGGTGCCCAAAGAGTCTTTACAAAAAGTAAAACCAAAAGGAGAAAAGAGTGTCAAGGGTGACTCTATTGCTGTTCAGTCCCCACATTCCTTTAACAACCATAATGAGGATGCTACAGACTTTGGGACTGAATGCCCTGGATCAGCCCCTAAGAGCTCAAGTTCTCGGCGGCGTTCAGCAGTGTGGAAACACTTTTATTTATCCCCTGCTGACAGCTCAAAAGCAGTGTGTATTCACTGTATGAATGAGTTCAGTCGTGGAAAAAACGGGAAAGACCTGGGGACGAGTTGCCTTATTCGCCACATGTGGCGAGCCCATAGAGACATAGTCATTGATGAAAATGGGCAGGGCTCAAGCATTCCTCCGCCTTACACGACTCCACCAACACTGCTTTCACGCACACAGGATTCCACAGATGTCAAAAAGGAATCCCTCTGTACCTCACACAACCCAGATACCATATCAGACAAAATGCCCAATGATGACAGTGAGAACATGACTCTTGAAGATGAGAATGATGCCACATATCAGTCCAGAGAAGAGTCCTCAATTGATCAATGTTTACTGAAAGGGGAAAGCATACCACTGTCGTCCTCTCCAGAGGAACACACTGATGGGCACAGCATAATATCTGAAGATCAAAGCTCAGTTTTTCAACAAAATAAGAAAATTATGAAACGGGTGAAATCAGAAGTATGGCATCATTTCATTGTCTCCCCCGTTGACCAACTCAAAGCTTTGTGTCGGTATTGTCCCTGTGTCATAAGTCGTGGTAAAAGAGGAGACTTTGGCACAAGCTGTTTAATGCGACATTTAATGCGGCGACATCCTGATGTTTTAAAAACCCCAAAAAGCACAAGTGATAAAGTTTCCTCACCCCAATCACCCCACTCCAATCATGCAGCCGAGGACTTGGCAACAGATACCCTTGCTGCTGAGAACAAACCCCACACCTTGCCCATTTTCAGCAAAAAGACTTCAAAACTATGGAATCACTTTTCTATTTCATCTGCAGACCCAACAAAGGTAGTCTGTTTGCACTGTAGCCGCACAATTAGCAGGGGAAAAAAGACAACAAATTTAGGCACTAGCTGCTTATTTAGGCACATGCAGAGATTTCATGGCCATGTGCTTGAAAATAATAGCAATATCTCAGGTGATGGGCCATCTGCTGAAACTCAAGTTAAGCAGGAGCTCATGGACATTTCTACTTATCAGGAAAACGCAGAAAAGTTCAGTGAATGCCACCCAGCTGCCAAAAAAATCACCAAACTCATTGCAGAAATGCTTGCACTGGATCTTCAGCCATCAACTGTAGTGGAAAATGTTGGCCTGAATCGCTTACTGGAATACCTCCAGCCACAGTATTCTTTACCTCCCTCATCCTATTTTACCAGCACAGCAATCCCAGAAATGTATGAAAGTGTTAAAGAAGTAGTTCTTACCCACCTCAAGGAAGCTGAAGGTGGAATCATTCATTTCACAACAAGTGTTTGGATAGGCAGCCAAACTCAAGAGTACTTGATTCTTACAGCCCACTGGGTGTCATTTGAGTCTCAAGTTCTGCCTCAGGGGCAAGATTTCCACTGCTCGGCCCTCCTTGGTGTTGCCTCAATTGACTGTGACTACAATATGCTGAACATACAGAAGCAGCTTGAATATCTTTGGGACACTTGGATGGGTTCCTCAGGCCTTAAAATTGGATTTACTGTAACAGATAATCAAACAATTAGAAATGTTCTGGAGAGCTGTGACCACACCACCATGCAGTGTTTTGTCCATAACATAGATCTGATTGTTAATGAAGCCATAAAAAGCCAGAGGATGGTTCAGAACTTGCTTAGTATTGCTCGAAAAATCTGTGAAAGAGTGCATCGTTCTGCTAAAGCAAAAGAGAAGTTGGCGGAGCTACAAAAAGTATATCAGTTACCTGAAAACCAACTGGTTCAAGATGTTCCATCGAAGTGGAAAACATCCTACTTTATGCTTGAGCGATTAGTAGAGCAAAAGAAAGCAATTGATGAGATGTCAATCGAGTGCAATTTCAGGGAACTGATAAGTTGTGACCAGTGGGAAGTGATGGGGTCAGTCTGCAACGCTCTTAAGCCTTTTGTGGTAGCCTGCAGGGAGATGAGCAATCGCACTGCAACACTAGGTCAGGTCATTCCACTCATTCACATACTCAACCGAAAGATAGACATGCTTTTTGATGAGACCATGGGTATTGACAATATGCTCAAGTCTTTAAAAGAGGCATTGGTGACAAGAATGTCCCCTACACTTCATGATCCCAGGTACATATGGGCAACCATGTTGGACCCGAGGTACAAGACCTCCCTCTTTACTGAGGAAGAAGCGGAGCAGTGTAAGCATGACCTCATACAAGAGCTTGAGGTGTCTACATCTAATTCTGCAGAGACGAAGACACCTTTGTCAAATGGATGCAGTGAAATACCTGCTTCATCAAACAGCTTGGCCTCAAACAAAGAGAACCTCTGGTCTCTTATGGATGACATTAGACAGAAAATCAAGCAAGAGGAGAAACCAAAATCACTGGAGCTTGCTGTTCTTGAGTATTTGGAGGAGGACATTCTTGACCAGAGTTGTGATCCTTTAGATTATTGGAACCTAAAGAAGTTACTGTGGCCAGATCTTGCCAAAGTAGCTGTACGCTATGTGGGTTGTCCACCCAGCATTGTACCAGCAGATACACTTTTTAGCACATCAACTGTCAACTGTGCCCTGAATCAGTCCCGACCATTGCTAGAAAATTTCGAAGGACTTCTATTTTTAAAAGTCAACCTTCCTTTGATATATTTTCAGTACTGAATATTGTGTTTTAATATTTTCAAGTCTGTTTTATGCTCTGAACCTCAGCCTTGGACCACTCAAGTTACTTTTTTGAGAAGGCCTAATTACTTACAAATCTTTTTTTTTTTCTCTCTCTCTCTCTCTCACTATTTGTCTCTGAGGTTCATATTCAAAATATCATTTGGATGCTATTTAACTTGAATATTTTTTTTTAGCTGGTTTGAATAAGATTGTAATGAGTACTACTGTTGAGTACACTTGATAACTGGAGTCTTATTCCTGGTGAAGTGTTTTCAGGGAGGGAGGGTTATCTAGCTGTATGGTTAGTTACTGTTTGTTGCTGTATTTAGATTTTATTTTATAAATATATTTTGTCTTCTCTCTCCTTGTGCCTTATACAAACTACTTCAGGTCAACATGCTGTAAATATAAACTGATGTGCAAAGCAAGTCATAGTCTTCTGATTTAAATGATTTTATAAAATGAAACGTACATGATGAATACTGTTTTATATATATATGATTATATACATGGCCCAAAATAAATGCTGTGACAGATGTTTTAAATGTATTTTATTTAATTATTTTGTGATTTTTGTGGCTTATGGTACTGTTAGAATTATGGTTATTTTTATTTTTGTATTATTATTTTATAATTTTTTTTGGCAAATGATTTTGTATGTTAATGTACATAATGCTGTACTTTTCAGGTTCAAATGTTTTGAAAAATTGTCTTAAGCACAAATCAGTTTTTATATAAAGGGTTAAATTATGGGACATCAAGGAAATGTACTGTACAATTTATAAATGGTTTCTAAAATATAATTTGATAGGAAGAATTCAGACTGGAACAATTAGTTGTTTTGTGTTCATTTGTAAATAAAATATTACACTTTGAAACCAGTTGCATTTCAATTTGTTAATGCCTGACATTGTGTGTGATTTATGACTAATATGCATAATAATTGCCTTAATTTTACTGACTAAAAAGTTGAATTTCCATGACCTCCAAAGAACGAGACAAAAAAGAGGTAGATGCTTGTACATTTATAATACAATATTAAAATGTGTTAATATGGTTTTAGCTTAAACATCATTTTGCATGACTTATAGCCATTACCTAAGTTCGGTAAGCTTGCGTCATCGAGCTGTTTTGTTAATGGTTGTTGCTAGGTGACGGGCAGGAAAGCAAAGCCCCAAAATTAAGAGACCTCCGTCCGCACATTGCGGTCATTCTGTTTTTACTAAAACTTTTGTTTTTTGGACATACAGAAAGCGTCCATCTGCCGAAAAAAAAAAAAATTATAAACATTCAGAACATCATAGTGTCTGCAGAAGCTGATTTGGAGGGGGAGACAAGCAGACATTAATTATCACTGTGCTTGCCAGCCCTGGCTCAGACTCACTTGTCACCAAGGAACAGTACTTGACTCACACACATACGAATGAACGTCATGAAAAGGTTTGTTTGTTGTACTGTTGACAATTCACTTCCGTTATTTGGTACAATTGCATTTATACCTGAAGTGAACCGTACCCCAGACCACCTCTTTAGTGAACAACAATTGATATTTTTGGAGTGGATGCAAAGTGCTGCTTGTCCCATATTTGAAAGCTCAATCGTAGTTTTTCAACCTTAATATCCAGCTTTTCGGTCTTCTACATTTAAAGCCAGTCCTTAAATGTATATTATCCTGGCATGTTAACCTTAGTTAAAAAGGTACAGTCTGCTGTGCTGAGGTGATTGCCTGTTGATTAGCATGCAAAAAATTAAATTGAGCTGAAAAAACAGCCTAACCATAACAATAGCCATAAAAAATAATAAGGCATAAACAAGTTATAATCTTAATAATTTTTAGCTAAAATTTAAAAAAACAAAAACAAAATCCCTGATTTTCCAAGACTTTGAACAAAGAGTAAAACAAATTCCTGGCTTTTAATGTCTAGAAAATACCTAAAAATTCTATGATTGGCCTGAAATTCCATAACTTGTGGGAACCCTGATTATATGTTTTTTCAATTTATGTATAATTGTAATAAGAAAAGAGAACTCGGACAGAAACCCAGGTAACCTAAAACATTGTACACTCAAGATTGCCGATGAGACTGCAACTCTCACAGAACTAATGGAGCCTAATGTGTTGAACAGAAAAATATAGTATTTATTATATAGTATTATAATATAGTATGCAATGTAAAACTAGATATTAATGATTCAACATTAATATGAAAACTTCCCATTTCATTTGAAGGCCCTAGCCAATAAACCAACTTTGCTTCTCTTTTACTGGTATATACATTTCTGTATAATTAATGATATTTAACAAAAATCTTTTCATGAAATTTTGTTTCGTGTTGGCTCATTAGTCAGGCAAGCTCCTCTGCATCTACAACATAGGCTGTCACAGGAATATCAAAAAATGTGTAGCAAAATTCAGAGTGAAAGGATTTATACTAGTATACCAAATCTGAGAAGTTGCGAGTGCCAATTTGTTGTTGTATAGAGTAGGGCTGAGCGAATAATCGAAAAGTAAATAAAATGGACATTTAGAACTTATAATCGATCTAATTTTTCCAGCTACTTTTTTTCAATTACTTACTGTTATTGAAGTTATACAGTAACTTTCACGCTCTGTTAAGGTGGATTTATACTTTTGTGTCGAACACAAGGGCATGGACAGGCGCCAACTTCTTATGGTTACATACCTGCACCTCTCAGAAATTGTAACTACACATCGCATATTTGCATTACATTGGCGATGATTGGTAGTTGTGCCAGAGATACCTTTTGAGATTTTTTTATTACAAATTACAATAAAATTACTATTAAAATATTTGTTTACAGAACATTCAAGAAATACAATGTTTAAAATATTTACAGCATATGCAAGTCATTTTATTTTGAAGAGATGCTGCTTTTTGTTTACTTTTAAAATGAAAAACTTTGAAAATAATAAATTTTGTTCCCAAAAGTGCAAGTTATTTAATTATTTTCAATAATGCAAGTTATTTATTTTCTATAATGCACCCTTGCAAGTAATGCACCCTCCATTAAAAAATCTCTCACTTTAAATGTGCTCACATATTACCAGTACAAAACTTATCAATGAATTATGAGGGATTTTTTAAAAATAAATAAATAAAATAATTATAATTAATTGTAATCGAGTTAAAATGTTCAATTAATTAAGACCTGGATTTTTGGCCAAATCGCCCAGCCCTACACTGCAAAACATGCTTTTATTGCTTAGATTTATTGTCTTGTTTCTAGTGCAAATATCTAAAATTTCTTATATCAAGAAGCATTTTCTAGACTAGAAAAATGTATTGTCTTGTTTTGAGAAATAATATGCCAATATTAAGTGAGTTTTTCCTTAAAACAAGCAAATTAATCTTGTTTTTTCTTTTGACGTAAGATTATTTTGCTTACCCTATTGGCAGATTATTTTGCTTGTTTTAGGAAAAAACTCACTTAATATTGGCATATTATTTCTCAAAACAAGACAATATGTTTTGCTTGTCTAGAAAATTATTCTTGATTTAGGAATATTTAGATATTTGGACTGGAAACAAGACAACAAATCTAAGCAAGAAAAGCATTTTTTGCAGTGTAGTTTTGACCTTATTCTTCAACGGGGAAATGCGCTTGTTTTTGTTATTTTTTTTTTAACCTATGTGAGAAATGACTAGAAATAATAAATTGCAGAAAATGGTCAAACTAACTGCTCTACAAACAACAATTTAATAAGAAAATGTCAGTTTGCAAGATCAAGCAGCAGATCTAACCCGACTAGTGTAATAGAACTAACTCAGGACTGCCTACCCTCTCAGCAAACAGAAACAGCAAAATAATTCACAAAAAACTTTATAAACATTTATTGGCCCCTTCCCTTAGCTAAAGGAATACATCAAAGTTTTAGTTCAATCCTCCATTTACTTTGTTTGATTGTCTTTCTAAAAGCACAAGCTTTTTGTTTAGCTGAATTTTGAGAGGTGGGAAATGGAACATCTCGAAGGTAAGGCTTTGATATCCGGTAATGAAGACCAAAGGCTTATGCGAGTCTTTGAGTAGCAATATCTTTGTTGCATTCACTTCCATTAATAGATGTGAATAGGTTTTCATTACTGGATCTTCAACTGTCAAATCCTCCTTCTTGTCATATCTATGAAGCAATTAAAAAGAAATATTAAAACAAGCAACTCAAAAAATATAAAAAGCATTATATTTGATAGTTAGATGCTCACACACCTCCAGTTACTATTTAGTTCCAGAAAGCGTGACACTCCAGTTTGTGCAGCAAGTACGTCGATGTGTAATGACACATCTGTGTGGCAAGTATGCATCTTAATCAGGTTGTTTGGATTGCAATGATAATTCAATATTAATAAAGCTATTAACCTACCTGCTGTAGTTGGCATTAATCTATGTAGTTCCTGCATTGCTTTTCCTCCTGGGTAGTTGTGATGGGAAACATACAGAGAAATGCTTGTGTATGTTGCATTTAACATCAAATGTCCAACCACAACTATGGAACCAATTTTATATATCCGTGACTTTTGGTAATTCTTCAATCTGTAACAAAAAAATATGACAAAATTTGAGGTGAAGGATAATCCACTTACCCCTGAGACAGAGAACAGGTTTACACGGACACCAATAATTTGATTTTAATATGATTAAACAATACTCTGATTAAGAGTCTAATATGTAAACAGGGATTTTAATTAATTTAATCAGATTAAGGTCATAATTAAACTAAACAGAAATCGGATCAAGGCATGTGGAATATGCCGATTTTATTTGCATTATTGAAGTGCAGTAAAGACATGTAAACACTTAAAACTATTACTGTTGTGTAGAATTTTCTCCACATTTTGTGACAAGATATTCCAAAAAGACACGGTTGTTTGACACTATTTCTGCACCTATCGACTCAGTAGAACCACAGACACAAACAATATTCTTCCAGCTGTTTATACTAGCATCCAATATCCCGTGTCACAGGGGGCAAGCATGAAATGTTCCTGAATGAAAGTGCCAAACTGCAGTTAAAAGTTGACAAAATAATAATGAAACACCCAAAATTTCATGAAACTCCAGAAGAAATGTGGATAGCGTGAAGACGCAATGACGTTAATCGAATTATGTGCTATAACATGTAAAATGGGATCATGAAAAGAACATTCAAATAATCCGATTACTGGTGTCAATGTAAACATAGTCAGTGTTGTGATTTATATCAGGAGTTCTCAACCTTTACTTAAAAAAAAAAAAAACACGCTGCAAACTGCAAAACATTTAGTGTAACAAAGCAGCTGTAATCTGCGGGTCGCAGATTTAATTATTTATTTAGTCAGTCGACACAATAAAAATTATCAATTTTAACAAATGCTTTTGCCTCTCTATCCTTTAATCTTTGTTCATGCAAGGCACAAAGCCCACAAACCAGACTCACATACTCAATGGCATATTTATTCTCATTTAAATTAAAACCTCCATTCTTTAACTACTATTATTTCAATTAAACTACTGTCAAATCTTTGTAATAAATAAGTGTTACGGCAATCCAATAGTCAAGTTCTAGCAAAGCCCATCTAAATAGTCATGGAATTACTGAAACAGCCAGATGTCCATAAACCATTGTTAGCACATTTTAATGATAGTTAAATATTAAGCATTTGCTGAGCATACATACAGCTGAACAACTCAAAAATTGAGCTAGATGATTGTAAATTGTGCCATTTGTGGTCATGAAACTTAGCCAAGTAGGCTACTGAATAATTCAACCAACTTATTCTAGCCCTTATCTGGTTGTGGCCACTTTTATGACTTTCAAATGGATAAATCTTTATACATTTTATTCATTACATTTTCTGTATTCACACCTGAAAGGTGTCACT